CACCCTGAGGGGCCAGAAGGCCCAGCGAAGCAGGGGGCTGGAGTAGCTCCCCTCTGCCAGGCACCAGAGCACTATGGCTGGTGGCAGCTGGTCCTCTGTCCCTCCCCCCCTCCTCCCCTGCATCAGCGCCCCGCGGGCAGGCAACAGGAGGGGTTAGGAGGTCAAGAGGCAGCAGAAAATGGGTGGAACGGCGGTGACATGCAGTATAATCAGCTTTTATGAACCGGAGAGCACACAGACAGAGAGAGACGGGAAACACAGCTCTGACACAATGCAACTGACTACAAGCAGTAATGAATTAACACATTAGCGCCACGACCAGGGGCGTTCAGGAGCACTCAGCTGCTCTTAAACACAAACCCGCACTGGCACACTCCCTCACACACACACATAAATCAGTCATAAGTCATTAAAGCAATAGCAAACACATGCACTTAATAATTACAACAGTCATTTGGTGGATGGCAGATCCCCTTGAAAGCCATTGAGAGTAATAAAATATTTCCACAAAAAACGGCAGAGAAACTTTTACTCAGCATTCATAATAGATTAAAAAAAAGAGATAAACTTGTAAACGTGCAATCACACACACATGCTTACAAGCACCACAAAGCTATGTGCATTCTCTTGTCCAAACTCAAACCATGTGTTCAATCATCATCAGCCCCGAATGATCCCCATTAATGCTTTAACTCTTTCTCTCACATCTCAGTCTTAGCCATCCATCCCTCCTGTCTTTGCTCTCTGCTCTCCGTCCATCCCTATAATTCACGTCTGTGCGGTTTACTTACTTCCCTTTCTCACTCTCTTCCTCTCCATCCTCCTCTCCCTCCCTCCCTGACTTTTAACCAGCGTGAAGAGGCAGCCATGCATTCAACCATCAGACAGGCTTACATGGTCTACCCACACACACAGACACACACACACACACACACACACACACACACACACACACACACACACACACGCACCACACACACACACAGAGTCAAAGCATATTGTTCCTCAAGTGCACAAGAATGCAATGTTCATTAAAACAAGCATCTTTGTGTGGTTAAATGTGCATCCTAATACTTTCAGAGAAAAAAAGCGTACATGACTGATTTGTATACAAAACCCCACTGAAAGTCAGTCTATTGGGTCCATTATTACAACAAAGTTTTTATTTCAGCAACATTTCTGCTCTAACAACTGATCTTTCCGCAAATAAAGACAAACTTGTTGGATGAAAGCTTTCATATGCAGTAATTAAAACCCTTTAACTTGGAAGCAATAGGACTATATTTGACATTTACAGTGACATTTTACATGGTTTATCAGCTTTTTAAGTGTGTGGCTAATAAACAGCGTCCTCAGTGTACAGAGCAGTGGTCCAGTGACAGCTCAGGGATGATGATGGCCCTGACCGAGTCCCTGATGGGGGATCCCATTCCTCTCTTCTCATCCAACAATCCCACTGAGCATGTCAATATGAAACACTATCCCCCCACACTGGGGCCTTGCTAGGCTATTCCTCCTATTACAGACAAAACAGGCTTATATTGATAGGATGAGCCTCTAACTGCTGCATCTGCGTGTGAGAAGATGCATGGCATGGTATGAAGAAAAGTGTAAATTAGACTAAATCAAGTCTCCCAACAGTAAAACACATTTTCTCTATATTGCACTCAACGTGAGGTGATTTACTACACGACTTTTGTTGTATGTGGGTTGAAGGAAAGCGAGCCGTAAAGATTTGTTTACCCAACTTTAAAAAATCCACAGCCTTGTAAATGTTGTCAGATGGCCGATGCCAGTGTCTTTCAGCTTAATACTACCTATATTAAATAGTTTAAATATTTCATAAGGGCGGTTTTTAGAGCGAGGGAGGGGAAATCGTTAGCTGCGGTAAAGTTTCATTAACTGGTCCCCATTTCGCTGCGAGGCAAACTCATCTCCTCTTATTGTAATAAAACAATCTCTCTCTCTCTTGGTGCTGCTATCCACTCATCTCCCTCTCTCTACCGCCTCTCTCCTTCTCTTTTACATCATAATAATACACTACATCCCTTTTAAATGCACTATTACTTACCGCTGCCTTTTCATATTGTAACATCACGGGCACTTTAGCGACAATATAAAAGCGTGTCATTCATTATTCAGAAGCAGCCGGCCTCGTCCCCCTTTTAAAAAGTCAGGCGCGCTGCTGAAATTGATAACGGCGAAGAGACGCGCAATAAAAACGCAGCCCCCGGGTACAGAGCTGCAGCCCAGACCCCCGATTATGCAGATCAAGTGGTAATTTCTCAAACAAATCGCACTCTTTCACTCTTTTGTTGTCGCTTCTTTTTGGACTTTTGGAATCAGGGTGTCAGCCTTTATATTGCCTGTAGAAAAAAACGAGGATTGATGTGCGTGTTAATTGTTCGTGTGTGCTGCAGGCTTTGCAGAAACACTATCTAAACATTTGGGCCTAAACGAGATAACCTCAAGGCTGCTTTGTAGACGGGGTTGCGTGGGTTTTTAAAAAGTGGGCTCTTGGTATCAATTAGTTTTACCTTTTTTCTGCTGTAATCACGAAGCAATGAAATGATCTGACAATGTCTTCAGCAGTCAGACTATCAATAAATTCAGAAAGGCTGGCTGGAGGCGGACTGGTGGGTTTTGGATAACCGGTGTCACGGTGGTATCCCGGTAGGTCAGAGCTAATGTGACATAATCACTCATAATCATTGGATTACACCGGATTACTAACACCCAACATCTGCAACCAGTGGGACCCCGTCTGCTGTGTACAGACTGCAGAGACTGCCTTCACTCTACAACAAATATTAATTTCCCAAAAAGTTGCAATGCAAACGTCGTCCTAAACAGCTATTGGCCATGTTTGAATAAATTAAATACATTACAATATGTTTTGTTCGATGTACAAACTCCGTGGAAATTACGGTGAATTATTCTAACAAATGGCATCAAGAGAAACATACAAATGTCCACACAGATGACAGCTATAACTGACCAATTCTCCCCATCAAAAGCCACCGGTGAGCTCACATATGGCGAGGTGAAGCAGCCAACACTCAGTCTGTCCATATTGCCAAACAAACACCTCGGGCTCGTCCCGTCTCATATTGCTTCATAAGACTTTATTGTGAAGGGCGAGATGCGGATCTTTTTAAAATATATATTACCCACTACAGTATCTTTGCATTTCAATGTGGTTTTTGCGTACAACCCCACCAATGACAATTTATTCTGACGTTATTTTTAAGTTATGTTCAATGCAGATTGGCATACTAAACAATCATACAACACTGACAATAATAGTTAATAGTTAGCATAACATTTAGCCAAGAAGACCGGATAACCCAAATACGAAATGTAATTACATGAATAGTTCAGATAAATAAATATAAATAAAAACATTAGCATATTCAATGCGATGTCAATGAACAGGTTGAGCAGATATTTTAAAAAGCCGAGAAGTATAAACCCCATTGTCACTAAATGAATATGTTGGCCATTAGTTTGTTTAAGTACTGTAATGTGATAGCCTAAAAAGCCACCTGCCGCATCCGAACCCGACGCGCATTTGTCTGTCCCTTAGACAAGTTAGTGAAAATCTGATTATCCGGTCACTTTGGGCGCCTGTTACATTGAATCTGAGCGGTTAGCAGCTTCCAGAGCCCGGACACTTTATCTGAAGTAGCCCATGGCCTTCCCTTGTCAGGTCATTTAATGTGGCTACCAGGAGCAAATAAGGCCACGTTATGCTTTGCCAACCTCAAAGACGCTGGTGATTCACTGCCAATGTTCAATAAGGCTGCTGTCTTTTTATTTTAAAGAGAGATGTGATGGATTTATTGTGCGTAATTACGCATACACAGGCACAATAATTATACCTGCTTGTGGTATTATTCTGTCTAAATAATCACACATTTACCATATTTAATAAAATGTTGAAATTGATTGTTTAGTTAATGTGTTTCAATGAATCTATGATTTAAAAAAAAATCAATCATGAATTAACGAGTGAACATGACTGCTGTGCATTTGTTTATACAACTGGAACATCTAAGGCTTTGAATCCGATGCATTCTGAATACTGAAAAGCGTTTCATATGTTTTGTTTTAATCTAAAAAAAAGTAGCCTATATTTAAAACTAAAATAAAAAAATGATTCTCCACAATTGATAATTGGCGAGGACGATAAGAATAGGTTTTTAAATAAAAGGGAAAACATCTCAAACCGTGTTTTCTTCCTTTTGGTCTCTCCTTTATAATATATCCAGTCTTCAGGTTATAAAGCACTTTATAACTTGCAACTAGTTTTTGTGTAAACTATTATTCACGTACAGTCTGCATGTGACAGACGATACAGATTGAAGGGGTGACACAGACAGCAGGACGACAAATGATGAGCATTTTGTGTCTCGCCTGAATAGTGGTAATGGGCAGAAGCATCAATTCATCAGACCCTTAGGTGGGGAAAAGTTTTTTTTCCACTGACATCATTTATCACCAAAACTTATAAACCCGTTCACAGTGAAGACATTTATGGGGACTAGAAGAATCCAGAAATATGACTGACTCAACACCAGTTGGTTGAAACAATAACATATTAGATGTTTGACGCTAAAGACGCTAAAAACAACACTGATCTTCAGTGATCGCTGGTGCGATTTCTTCTGACATGTCATATACATTTCCATGAATCTGTTGCTTGCTCCTTACTCTCCGTTATAATGATACAAAAAACGACAACGTCAATAACTGATTCACTGGAAGGCATTGTGATGCCTTATCTTGCCATAGATATATAACAAACTGACGCCTGTGGTAATGGGAAATCTTGGTTATTGTGCCAAATTGTGGGCCTACCCCTATTAACATTCAATCAGTTATTCAGGTTCCAGCCAATGAATAGTGGAGAGGGATGTAGGAGGACGGAGTTGAGCGTTTTGACGCGCAGAGAGGAGGACAGAGCGTCACATCTCTCCAAACGCCCATCAAAGTTTCAGCAGAGCGCGAGAGGACCCAGTCCTCTGAAAGAGGCCTGTTAGAGACAACAAGGATACGCTGGATTCTGGAAACACTGCTCGACCGCGATGGAGACACAACTGGCAATTACAGTTGTTTCAGTTTGACCCTGTCGTGATTCCCCCTAAAACATATATTTTTCAGTTTTTCATTTCCTCTTCGCGACAGAGCAACGGGAATGGAGCAAGCACCCAGCGCGCCGAGCCCTCCTCCAAAACCGGCTCACCACGAGCCCATCAGCTTCGGCATTGACCAGATTCTGGGAGCCGGTACGGAGCCAGAAACCGGGCGCACTTCAGGAAGACAAAGTGGAGTCGATCTAAGCAACGGGGACGGTTATTACAGTTTAGGAAGCCAGACCGGGGCCAACGCGCCCTCATACACCGCGCTATCCATCTCCCTCTCCGGTATAATGCCTCCGGTGGAGGCGTCGGGTTCTTACGGGGATAGCAGGAGTCTGCCAAGCCGGGGAGTGATTCGAGTCCCGGCACACAGACCCATGACAGCCCTGGGACCCCCGGCCCCCGTGCAGGGCGCTATCCCTGGGTTTGGAGGGCTGTGCTTCCCCTGGATAGGAAACAGGTTCGCCAAGGACAGATTATCAGGTAGCCTAACACCTAACGGATTCCCCTCATTAAGATTGCATAATGTTTAAAATATTAGTAACTGCTGTTGAATCATTTAAAAAAACACCTGTGCCAAATATTTGTAAAGGTTTTTAGCAGCCAACTGAAATGCTTTTACTTTAATTATTTTAACGGCTGAAATAAAAAACAACAACAGGACGCAAGTTTTAAAATGTTTATTTAATTCAATTCAATTCAATTCAAGTTTATTTATATAGCCCAAAATCACAAATCCTATTTGTCTCAGAGGGCTTCACAAGTCAACAAACTAAATTGGCAATGTAAAACAATGAATTTAAATACTGGATTACACTACATTTACTGATTATTATTAAACACCTTTTACCCACTTCACTTGTGTTTTAGGAGTTGAATATCTCATTTCTACATCACGTAGTTGAGCAAAACAAATGTAGTTGTGTAACTATCACAGAGCTTTGTCAGGACAGCTAGAATGTATTGACATATTTTATTACTGTAGTGAAAATGTACTACAAATGTTAATTATAGTCTACATTGAAGATAAATAAGAAACATACTATTGGGATGTTGGATAATTTCGGCTACGTCTTAAAACTACATTAAAAAGTAAACAAAAAATAATATACAATAATAAAATGTTATGTCTTCTGCATTTAGCACAGAGGTACGAACAGATGTCTTTACAAAGAAAGGCGTTTCATAGAGAAAGTAAAGATAAATAGGCCGACAGGCCTGTTGTCCTATCTATAACTAGCAGCATGGGTATGATCAGTTTCTCCTCAAACGACTTAAAAATAAGAATTCATTTATTTCCCAGAGTTGCCTTGTTCATTGGCCAGACCCATCTTCCACAATATATTTCCTCTCACATATTTCACATAAGGCGTACACAGTCTAAATAGGGAATTGTTGTCAACCAGGGCAGATATCTGTGATGTATGGCCTTGTATTTCCATACAGATTGTTTGGTGCTGTAGGAAATCTTCTACTCACCGGTCTCTCTCTCTCTCTCTGTTCCCTGCAGCTGCTCTGGTGCCATTCGCCGTAACACGGCGGATAGGACATCCGTACCAGAACCGCACGCCACCCAAACGGAAAAAGCCCCGTACTTCCTTCTCCAGGGTTCAGATCTGCGAGCTGGAGAAGCGTTTCCACCGGCAGAAGTACCTGGCCAGCGCCGAGCGGGCAGCCCTGGCCAAAAGTCTGAAGATGACAGACGCACAGGTCAAAACCTGGTTCCAGAACCGCAGGACCAAGTGGAGGTTAGTACACATTTGTCTGGACTCACATTTGCAACCGTAGTTCATCACATTTACACTGTAAGAACCACACACCCCAGCCTTCTGCCGTAAAGTGGTACATCTGTTTTGGCTGTCCAGTTCAAACTTTTATCAAGCGCCACTTCCTATTAATTGACCCCATTGACACGGAAGAATTAAACTTTGACCATAACCTAACCAGAAATTAAAACAATAGTAGGCTATAATCATCCTCCTCTTGTCATTCACTTTCTTCTACAATTACAACACTATAGGCAGAGTAAAATGTAGTTTTTACCAATTATTACCGCAACTGTATTTGCTGGAAATCATGTTTTTATTTTATTTTGCTAAGGACACCAACGTTGACATCTTTACATCACTGACCTCATTTTAATTATATTCTAAGAATTGACCACTGCAGTTTGTGCAAATGTTTTAGTTCCACACGTGCTTTTATTTTTTTTGTTATTTTATTTTTAGCACATAACCTCACTTTTTAATTGATCCTTTTATTCATTTTTCAATGTTTTCTTTTTCACCTGTCTGTTTCCAGGAGACAGACAGCCGAGGAGAGGGAGGCGGAGCGTCAGCAGGCCAATCGCCTGATCCTGCAGCTGCAGCAGTCCGCCCTCCAGAAGTCCCTCAGCGAATCAGCGGTGTCGGATCCACTATGCGCGCATAACTCCTCCCTGTACGCCCTGCAGAACCTCCAACCCTGGGCCGAGGAGAGGGAATAAACACTCTAATCGATAGGCATTAGCTATTATCCCTGGGAGGATAAATAAAATAAATGAGTCCTACATGAGGACTAACACTAACTATGATCCATGCAATGGATAAAAAAAAGTTGGACCTGATAAACTGAGGAATTGGTCACAGCCAATTGAGTGGACGGTTGAGAAAATGGACCGGAAATGATGGTGAGTGGTGTTTGTTTTGGAGAAGAGACAGAACTTTCTTGGAGTAAATCTTGCAACTCTGTTCTTTGGAACCGTGAGCCTTTTTCCAATCGAAAAGGGAAACTGAACTTTAACAATTCTTGTCAAAACATTATTGTCCTCTTATGCGTGTACCAATTATGTTTACTAGGATAAGAGGGAGAAATATTTGTGTTAACCCCTTGACTTAAAGTAACCATTTTGAAACATCTTGAAAGGGTTGGCTTTGTTTCTATAGGGGAAAAACACCAGCCATATGAAGGCAAGGCCTACACCCGTTTAAACAGATACATAAGAGAACCTGCTCAAAAATGTATCTGAAAAAAATAATAATTAAGAATCCTGCTTTGTTTTATCCAAATACACAAAAATATGTCTTCACAAGATTATATTTTTGAATGTTCTGGTGCTTAACATTTTCTTCCAATCTCATTTATAAATGCAACACCACAATTACCTGTGCATACAAAGGTGTGGTGTACCAGAGTAGCCCAATAAATGGTGCCTAAAATGTTATATTATGGGAGATAAATGCTTTTGTGCACAGTAATAAAAAGAAAATAGATGTCAGGATTAGAGGGGAGAGAAGTGAAGAAAATATGAAGGAGGCTGTAAGTTGGGTAATAAAGGGAGTGATGCATGTTCAGTTATGGTGGTGACGTTTTTTTCATATGCACATTATCTATCATGCTTTATTTGTGTGTCCTCCGGGATTGAGGCACAAATGTACAACTCTTTTGTACTTTCATTGTATATGTGTAAATAACAATATAAACTGTTCTTGTGACCCCTTTTGCTCCTGCTCTTTATGGCGCACTATAAAAATGGTTTCACGGTTTTAATACACAACAATTATAAGCTATACAAATGCAAATGTTATGACGTGACAAGGTAAACAAAATAGCAGACATGAATTCATTTAGTTTCTTGAAAATTTTATTGATAAATATAATGATTTTATACAATATTTCAATACACACATTATTTCATTCTGACAGCTTTATTCTGTCTGTCTGTTTGTCTTCCTTTCTGTCAGTCTATCTTAAAGTTATTCTGGGTATAATTGAGATGAGCCGCAACACATCTCAGCAAGGAATCTTTATTAAACAATTGTTAGCACAGTGAGTGGGCCTGACACTAAATCATTCATTATTCTGTATTTTTGTCTTGCTCAATCTTTAAAAAAAAAAATGGCTCTTGTTTGAAACATGGCTTCCATTCCTTCAGAATCAGTGACTGGGTCTCTCTCGTCTTCTGTCTTATTCTCTACTCTTCTTTTATTCTGTTTCCACACTCGTCCTTCCTTCTTCGAGCTCCCCTCTCTTGTCTCTCCTTCACAGTGAAAGGTTGGTGGCTCCGAGTCGACATTTTAAACAAACAGAACTGACGACAAAACTCTCCTCTCTGGCAGAAACACAGCCAGTTGAGCTAGACCAATTCTTCCAAAAGATGATGTTGCTACATACTACGAACACACACACACACACACACACACACACACACACACACACACACACACACACACACACACACACACACACACACACACACACACACACACACACACACACACACACACACACACACACACACACACACACACACACACACACACACACACACACACACACACACACACACACACACACACACACACACACACACACACACACACACACACGTCACTCTGCATCTGTGTGCCAGTTAACCTCTAAATGTATCCTTTATTAAGCAATGAGTGTCAGGTAGAATTATTACATTAAATCCATTTGACAGAGAGACAGACAGATAGTCAGAATAAGAAACACGCAGACAAAGACAAGGCGAGAACAAGCCACAAATACAACAGTTAAATATTTACAGTGTAGTCGTTCTAACATTGAAACACTGACCGACACCACATGAACACAGTGGGTGTAAAGAGGACTGTAGCAAGCTGTCACGAGACGTAAGACTGCACGCTGGCTGAGGTTAAATTCAGCTCTGCAAACCTTTACAGGCCTGTGTCTGAATTTAGTCTGAAAACAAATGAGGTGGCTCTGTCAGACCATTGCTTCCAAAATGTATACACTTAGTTGATAATATTTTGGAGTTATTTATCACGGCACAAAGCCCATGTTAAATACGGCGTAGGCCTCTCTCTTGCATGCTTCACAATAATGCTCAGCTTTGTTGTGACGACACAGAAATTCACGATGAAAACAGCTATTATTTTAAAGTCTAATGCATAAAGTATGCATTGGATTGTTCTCAGCTGCTTTTAGGAATTCCAGTCCTGCTTGTTAATATGGTTCAATTTACAAGTGTATTAAAAGTATTTGACCAAATGAGACAGAATCAGAATTTACAAAATGACATGAAATACACACTGTCAGTGACGACTGCAAAGATGAGGGAGATGGAGAAGAGGTAAATGGTTACAGAGGTTAAATGAAAGGTATAAGTCCAAAGAATCTTTTCCAAAACGTTTGTCTCCATGGATGTTTCAGCAAGATGGTTTCCATGAAGTTTTCTGGCAACCATCCCTCTTTAAGCGACAAGATCCATGATTTGTTTCCAACGCAAGCTATGCTGTTCCTTTTCTCTTGTGTGTTCATCTCTTTTCTTCTTTGTTCTTATCTTGCACTTGTCTTTTGTACCGCATCCCTCTTCTTTGTTGTCTAAATGACATTTTCAAAGAGCTGTAGAGATCTCATGATGTTTTCATCCTGTGCAAAGAAGATGGAAAATGAAAAAACTGAGCGTGAGGAGAAAGTAATCCAACTAACACTAATTAATTCAGATTACTGGCCACTAGGGGGCAGTGAAAGCCTGTGAAATGATGGTCAGTGATCACTCTACAGACTAACAAACACATTGATAAAAAAGGAAGCAAAGTCCATAATTAATAGCCAATATAGTGAGATGTGCAGAGGAGAAAGCAAAGCAAAGAATATGAGGAAACAGGCCCTTTGGTATAAATAAAATAAAATGTTTACTTTTCGTTTTTAAACTGAAATTAGCATTTATCACTGGTTTTTGCAGTTTCTGTTTATTAGGCATGTTGTCACAATAGGAAGCACAGGTTTTTCTAATAACATTAACACAGCTTTGTTATATAAATGGTTTCAGCCACCTTTAATTCAATCATTTACACAACACATGTGCTACTGCAATATATTAAAATGCCGTTTTTTGCAAAGTTAAAGGGATCCTCTGTGTTATGTAATTAGAGACGTGAATCTAAAGAAAAGTACCTCTTGACAAGAGTAGATGAATTCATCCAGAGTGACCACACCATCTCTGTTTTTGTCCATTTTCTGTGAGGAGAAATGCAAAGGTGTTATAGGGAAGATATTATTAAATATTCATTAAGATAGATATATATATTTTTAAATAAATAGACCACCTACTTAAATCTGCAGCCTATTCTATGTCATCGTCTTTTTCACGCATTGCCCTTTGCATCAGTGTTTTGCTTTTGTTCAGTGTTGTTTGTTCTTTTATTGCAAGTTTCGTTGTTTTGTTTTGCTTTTGCATAGCGATGCCAGGGTGGGCATTGCTATGCATGGTACAAGTACCAGGTTTTTGTTATGCTTTTAGAAATGTGAGGCATGTGCTCGACTGATGCATCCTTGTTTGGTCAATCCTCACTAACTATGTTGTTGCTTTTTGGTCTGCCGCCTAAGATGTTGTTACCTGAAAGAAGGCCTCCACATGCTGTTTGGGAGCATCGTTTTTCAAGACAGGGTAAGTGTACTTCCCCATCATGTCGTATATCGCTCTGACTATGTCCGTCATCTCCTATGAAACAAGGGGAGAGTAAACACATACCAATAAGAAGTGTGAGATTAACATGAAAGTACAAAAGAAATGTGAGTGGTAGTCACACACACACACACTGGAGGGTGTTTGCAGTGTTTGTTTACTGTCAAGGCAGGCACGCTACTAATCCACCAAATGTCACTTCCTCATATTAGAGTGCCACTTATAAGTGTGTCAAATACTGCTAATTTACACACACGTATGACCATGCCCAATATTTCGTTTTAGAGTACACACACACACACACACACACACACACACACACACACACACACACACACACACACACACACACACACACACACACACACACACACACACACACACACACACACACACACACACACACACCACACACACACACACACACACACACACACACACACACACACACACACACACACACACACACACACACACACACACACACACACACACACACACACACACACACACACACACACACACACACACACACACACACACACACACACACACACACACACACACACACACACACACACACACACACACACACACACACACCTCTTTGTTGATGTATCCATCTCTGTTGATGTCGTAAAGGTTGAAGGTCCACTGTAGCTTCTCAGTGATGGAGCCCCTCAGTAGGATGGACAGAGCTGTAACAAAATCCTGATGGAGACAAAAAGGACTGAATTAAAATCAATTCAGAGGAGAGTTAGTTTGGAAATAGTGTCATTCAAATAGGAGAAATCAAGCAAACCTCAAACTTTATGGAGCCACTATGTGCTGTGTCAAAGGCGTTGAAAAGGTAGTGTGCATAGGTGCTGGCATCTGCAGGAGGAAGAAGAAAACGCTTGTCAGTACACTGGATACAAAGAAATAGTGAGACAAGGACAGGTATAGACTCAAACATCACGACACACACTCTTTACCTCCATGAGGGAAGAACTGGGCGTATATTTGCTTGAAAGTTTCCTCGTTCACAACGCCACTTGGACACTCCTGGAACGAGAGGGAGACAGAAGAGTGGTGATGGAGATGGAGAAAGTCAGATTGAGTCAATTAAAGGATTACACAACATTAATGGGAGACTCGCTATGCATTCAACATCTTTAGTTTTTTGTTTAATGTTATGTAATATCACTAAAAGTAGAACAGACTGCAATTTCATATCCTGACTGTCTCTCCAGGGTGTCACTATTGAGTCAAGTTTTTACATAGAGCTTTAATTAAGCTGTAAATTGGCAAAAGAGACACCAAAAGGGTCCTAAAATGATACCTGATTCTTTTGCAGTACTTGAGCATTTATGTGTAGTACTTTATTATTAAGTAAAAAAGAAAAAACGATCATTTACAGATTATTTAAATACATCTTCAGTATCTTAAGTACACCAAGCTGATACTGTGGACAGCTACTGGTGCTTAATGGAAGTCTAATAAACCACCTCCATTAAAAGCATATTACCTAGCCAAATATCAATTTCTTTGGTTGTGCGATGCTTGGATAAACCTATAGTTGGAAGTAAAGAATTACTATTTGTAATAGTTATGTTAGTAATGAACCTGCCTGGTCACTTACGTTCTTAAAGCCCCGGTACAGCACTTGGAGCTCCTTTTTGCTGAAGTTGGTTAGAGCTTCTAGCTGGTCGAGGCCCTCCGGTCGATGGCACACCATCGTAATCTCCAAGTCATCATCGGCTTTGTCTGAAGAAACAAAAATACATATTTCTTAATAGCTGATACACAAAACACAACAAAAGAGTGTGGAAGCAAGAAGGAAGAGAAAGAAAGAAAATCAAAGTAGTATAAAACAGAAGAAAATAAATATGTGACATAGCGAAATAATCTGCCATCAAGTTCAAAATGTTATTCATCCAATCCATTAAAAGGTAGAGAATAATAAGACTTCTAAGAGGTTGAAAAGGGAAGGAGGGAAGAGGAGAAGAAGAGAGGTAGGGGTCAGTCTAACAGCTTCATGTCCCTCGTCTCACCGGCACGATCATTAACATCTCATTACTGTCCTCGCCGGAGGGGAGAGAGGACAAACCATCGACCCTGACTCAACACACACACGCACGCACGTACACAAACGCGCACAAAATCTTACACTGCCAATATATAAACATACTAGTAACAAAGCATGTGCACCTAAGTGCATGCATACTCCCTGAAGCAATCTACAATGTAATTATGCATAATCTTATAACTATGCATAATTTAATAGAAATGGCCGTACTATTTCAGAACATGATAAAGTGGTCATAAGGTGCAGTAGTAAAATGCTTGACAAAATAACGTACCGGTGGTTAATAAGAGGGTACGTTTTATGATGCTGTTTCTGCCTGTTCCTGCTGTGTTTGCTTTAGTAAGGAAGCTACCAGAGAGCCCTGAGGTTATCATCCTCTCGTTTCCCAGTGATGGATAGGCTCTTTGCTCTGGAGCTTTTAAACACTGAGAATTTGGGCCTCACTCAGACAAATCTTTGAAAAATGCGCACCCTAATTCACCCATAAAAAACTTGCTAAATGTTGCTAAATTCCTGCATGCCATGGGATCATGATTATATTATTTGATCCCATTGACCAGCAATGCAATCAGCAGTTGAGCAAAGATAATTCAATGTTAATGTTTGGCATACATTCAGACGGCACTTAAAACATTAAGGAACATCTCTACTAAGGCATTTATTAGTTTCTGACTTGAGAAAAAAATAAATCTATTCTCCAAATGATTATATATCTGAAATATCTTGTTCACCAAATCACATAATCATTAGTAAGAGCTGGCTGCCCATTAAAAGGACTGCATGTTCATCAGGTACAATTTCCATGTATCGTTAGCATTTACCTGCTAAATGAATTCTGTCAGTTTCCAGATGATAACTCTGTGTTGCAGAGGATAACATGTGTTGCAGAGGATAACATGTGTTGCAGAGGATCTGGGTAGACGGTCATTTGAATGGGAGGTGGTAGAGTCATAGTGTCAGCCGATATAGTGATAATAACGCATTTCTAAGGGCTCCTATCCGGCTTTAATGAAGTGTCCCAAAGTGCAGTGTTCACACTGTCCTTGGCACTCAAGATTTTAAAACATCAACAGTCTTGAAATAGAAATCTTTATCTTTGTGGCAAGAACCTCAGCGCCCTGTAAAGCTTCATTACACCAACTCCTCTTTAAATGGTATATCTCAGAGAATCGTGGGCAGCAGCACTCTGCATTATTAAAACCCAGTCCAGTGTTCTGATTTGATAAATACTCTAACTGCAAATGCTGTTTCATGATTTATGAGCAAAAGTAAGTTTGAATTTAAACGAACTTTGAAGCATTAATCTTGTTGAAAAGGAAAAGTACTGAGAAATCAAGAGATTAATGTTATCGATACAAAATACCTTATCCAGCTAATGACTCTGTTCCCACTACTTTCTTACTGTGTGGGTGCAACACACACACACACACACACACACACACACACACACACACACACACACACACACACACACACACACACACACACACACACACACACACACACACACACACACACACACACACACACACACACACACACACACACACACACACACACACACACACACACACACACACACACACACACACACACACACACACACACACACACACACACACACACACACACACACACACACACACACACACACACACACACGCTAACCCCCGAAGGCCCTTCATTTAATCACTCAGGCAGCTCAGTGTGTCTCAGTGTCACATCAGGATGGAGGAAGTTCAAAGTAATGGCTCAAGGTGAGATTATACACAAACCCCAGGTGTTTCCAGACATAGCCTATACTGTACATATACCGCAGAATCACACACACAAAACATGGACACAATCAAAAATTGTGATGGTATCAGTCAAAGTCACACATCATACTTTGACATCCCATCACCAAGTACATCTATAAGTAAGCCTCCTCTATGAAAGAGAACAAGTTAAACAGTCACTAGGACTGACCTCATTAATAAAACAAGTGGGAGAGCCAAGATCAGTTCACATTCCACTTTAAAAGGAGCTATACACCTTCACTCAGTCAATAAAGCAAACACTGAATGTATGATCACATTGGTTAGGAGAGACTCAAAACATAGAAAGCAGCAGACAAAATAAAATAAACAAGCCCTCTACAGAAAGCCCATAATCCATCCATTCGTTTTCCAACGCTTATCCTCGGGTTGCGGAGGAAGCAGTTCCAGCAGAGGGCCCCAAACTTCCCTTTCCCTGGCCACATTAACCAGCTCTGACTGGGGGGATTCCAAGGCGCTCCCAGGCCAGCATATATTCCCTGCAGCTGGTCCTGGGTCTGCACCTTGGTCTCCTCCCAGCTGGACGTGCCTGGAACAGCTCCCTAAGGAGGCGGCCCTGTAGCATCCTTACTGGGTGCCCGGTTTGTCTACTCCGAGTCCCTCCTGGAGGACTGAACTTCTCACCTTGTCCCTAAGGGAGATGCCAGCTACCCTCCGGAGGAAACCCATTTCAGCCGCTTGTATCCGTGATCACGTCCTTTAGTCATGACCCATCATTCATGACCATAGGTGAGAGTAGGCACATATCAAACCCATACAATTAGTTGCTAATGGAAATGGTTCAGAATGAATTACAGTACACGCGGTTGAGAGTGCAAGCAGCCAGTCTGCAGCTTCTAAAAATACATTGATTCATAATTAATGAAAATGTATTTTCTCTGAAAGTTACAGTTGAATACAAATGATCTATTTTCAACATATTTGATCTTCACACATAAATAATCCAGATATTTTTTGTTATTATTCCAATAACTTGCAGAAGTGAAAACTCTTGTTCAACTCTGCTGGTTGGGCAAGTGCTGGATTACAGTTCTGATAGCAGTTGTACTGACTCACCCTCCACAGAGATGACTCCCAGTAGGTGCAGCATTTTGACGGCCGCACAGCACAGACAAATGATGGCTACAGTACGTAAACTGTTCTCACTCTGCTCCTCGGTTTCCATTTTGATACCTACTTCTTTCACTGGCCTTCAGAAGATTACGCTCCAACTCCACTGAACGTTATTATTTTTGTATTCCTTCCCTTTTACCAAGTAGAAATGTACAATAACTAACTTATTCTAAACTTTTACACTTGCTATAATGACTTTCATCCAATTCTCTACAGTTAGCTTCTGTTTCTCTCTCCCTCTCATGCCTTTAAACCTCCCATCCATCCTGCCTCCTCGTACGCTGAGATCAGCACACGACTGCCTCTCTCCGTCTCTGTCTTTTTATCCCCCCGTCCCTCCACTCCCTGGGGCATCGTCCTCTCTTATCCTGCCCCTCTCTCCATCCCACTAACTCTCCCTCTGTCCCCCGTCCCCAGCCCCCAGTCCTACTCCCCTCTGTTAGAGTCACTGTGTCCTTCACTTTGGGAACAGAGCTCTAACTTTAGGGTCCGGCCTGAGCACACTGCCACAACACCTACTGCTCTACGGCCTTATGTGTTTGTGCCGTGACTCTGTGTGTGTGTGTGTGTGTGTGTGTGTGTGTGTGTGTGTGTGTGTGTGTGTGTGTGTGTGTGTGTGTGTGTGTGTGTGTGTGTGTGTGTGTGTGTGTGCCCGTGTGTTCATGAGCACATCAGCACTTGATTAATTGGCTCCATTGAGTCACACAGTCATCCTTGAACAACAGAAGGCTTACAAAGTGACTTTTCTAACTAAAGTGTTGCTGCTATGACTCCTAAATTCCCCTACATTGTATCTTATCTTATCTCATCTTATCTTATACGTGCTTTTAAAGTGACTTGATCTAGAATTGAAAATTCTTTATCTGAATCAGAGAATACCTAGTGTGAATAAAGCATCCACCCCCCTTATCTTTACATTGTCTTTATATGATATATTGTAATGTGTCTGCCTAGAAAGAATGACCTGCTATATCCTGCAACTGCCACAAGGGGGCAGCAGTAACTAACATAAAGGACACCAGTGTGCGTCACAGTTTTCTCATAAAGACGTATTGTACATTTCATTGCATGAGTTATATCAGATTTAGCTGGTAGGTTATGTGCCAAAATTATAACGCTCTGAAAATAGGAACAAAAAGTAATTCGTTGTTAAATTAAATGTGCCATGTTCTTTAAATGTAAAGCATGAGGTAAGGGTGTATTTTCTGTACTATCTCTGTGTCCAGCTGGCACCCATCCACAGTGTTAATGTTAAGAGGAGCTGTGACGGCCCAGCTGAAGTGAAGCCACGGGCTCGCAGGCTGCAGGGGGCTCTGCTCTACCAAGAGCTTTCCCACAGAGTTACCAACTGAAGGTTTGCTTTATTTACTGGTCTGCGATTACAGCAGCAGTGCTGGGTCAAATAAGATTTAGTGGCAAGAGTAGCATTTAATTCAATTTGCCAGACATTTAAAAGATGCAGTGTGAACATCACTTGTTAAGGATGATTAAGTGTATATTGTGTTCGTTCAAGTAATCAGCCTTCAGCAGCCTCTCACTGTGACCAATCAGCAACATTTCTGTCGTGGAGCAACAGGAACAAGAAAGCTGCATGCTGCCATTCATCTGAGCTACACTCCTTTCTACAGAAAGTATACAAATTATGTGGTATAGTATATCAAATATATTAAAGGAAAATCTTGACGAATGTTATAGCACAATAGTTGTTATAACACTTCACCATAAAGCTAATTCCAATAAAAAAAAGAAGGTGCAGTGCAAATTGCAATGATAAAGAAATATAAAAGGCAGATTCTATAGCAACATTAAAAGCAAAGCAGAGACAACATTTAACCATTTCACATGTGATCAATTCACACAAGGCACAGGTTGCTCACGGACATTTAACGTACAATTTAGCATTTAGGATTCACATATCAAAATCACATTAGAAGTCACAAAATTCCACAATCCTACTTTGACCGGATTGCTCTGACTTTTAAATCAAAAATGAAAAAAACCAGGTTCCCACTTATGGGCCCCAGGAGACCCTGTGGACCTGTGTCCGTTCAGTAATCCAGATATGGCTATTACAGAGTAGAGGATTGGCTCCTGCTATCCTCTGCCAGTCCAAGAGTATTCTGTTTTCTCATTTTTTTTATGTGAATAACTTGAAACTGACTGCGGTTTAGAGACTCTTATTCAGGAAACCTCTGAAATCTCTTTTAAAATTAATCTGATAGAGTCTTTGTCGTACATACATACTACTATAAACTATTAAAGAGCGAAAACAGTGCAAACAGAGCTAACAGTGATAACCTGCAGGAGAACTGGAGGATGAGCATTAGGTTTCTGCGAAAATGCTGTGACTCGTTTTTAGTGGTTTTTGCCAGAGCGGCGGCCATTAGCTAGCCAGTGGGGCACATTTTCTGCTCAGGTAGACGTGACTCCACTATATCTTGACATAGCAAATAGTTGTTTGATGCTATATAAATGCTCTGTATGCCATATTAGAACATTTTATAAAAATGGATTGCAATAAGCCTGCATGATTCATTCTTAGTTTTAAACTAAAACTGTAAATCTTAAAATGTCTTGAGGTCTTCCCTTCTGTCAGTTACAAAATCACATATTCAGAGTTTGACAGTGGCCAAAACCCTGAACTCATTTCAGTTTGTGTTCAGTATTAAGCCGTGACCTGAACTGTCAGCAAACAAAAGACAGCTTGTCACTCTCCCCAGCCAGCCCCCCCTGGCACTAAAAACAACTCTTACATCAACACACACTTCTTCCAGCCCAGAAACAGGGCTTAACTCCCAGCTTTCCTGTAACTACTGGCTCTCATATATAATGTTAGCTCTCACTTCTCCTCTATCGCTTCCTTTCTTCTGTTGCCCGCTGAATCCTGCTTTCTTATCTCTCTCCCTCTCTGCCTTGCTCTCTCTTTCCTTCTAGTACAGTGTCCTGTAATCCTTGCCATAAAGTGTAATTTGCATAATCTGAATTTGCTTAATCTGCCGTCCTGGCGGCGATGGAGAGGGCTCGCTCTCACCGGCCTCTAGTGTCAGAGAGTGCTCTCCAAGAAAGTAGCAGCTACTGGCCATGGGCTCCCTGGGTAAATGGAGGAAGTATCTTAAAAAATGGATTCAAGCTGCAACAGTCCTGTTTACACCATGCAAAATCTACACAACATAATCATGTTGCAAGGCATGAATTCAAGCTGTTTCTGAGACTCATTGTTTTCCACAGTGAACATCCAAGCCAGTGGACATGAGCCCAATCCCTGAGTGGCCTTTGGGTGGTTCACTGAAAGTCCAATAGCTCACTCTGCTTGAAGACACACACAATCACACTGTGGCTGACCCTCGAACAAGACAAACTTGAAGACATTATTTCAGGGTCAGAGATAAAATATTAAGAACCCATGTGTAATAATACATACACACTCCCATGCTTGCATGCTCACACACATCTGTTTGCTTACTAACCCTCGGCCTGTGAGTGAGGACTGAAGAGCTGGAGGGTGTTTGCAGTGTTTGTTTACTGTCAAGGCAGGCATGCTACTAATCCACCAAATGTCACTTCCTCATATTAGAGTGCCACTTATAAGTGTGTCAAATACTGCTAATTTACACACACACGTATGACCATGCCCAATATTTAGTTTTAGAGTAAATACACACACACACACACACACACACACACACACACACACACACACACACACACACACACACACACACACACACACACACACACACACACACACACACACACACACACACACACACACACACACACACACACACACACACACACACACACCACACACACACACACACACACACACACACACACACACACACACACACACACACACACACACACACACACACACACACACACACACACACACACACACACACACACAGACAGACAGAGAGAGAGGAGAATGACAAGATGACTTAATGAGCACTCACACCAGCTAATGGGAGCGTGGGTGATAGAGAAAGGAAGCAAATGAGAGAAAGAATGGAGGCATATGAGAGAGAGGAAAGAGGGAAGGGAGGTATGGAGCAGTTTGTAGAGAAAATTAGAAGACAAGAGAAAGAGAAAAAACAAGGAAGAAAAGGGCCAAACAACAGGGAGAGGACAAAGGAGTGGGGTCAAATGGAAAAGGATTTCAAATGTTAGAAAAAAGGCATTCAAATAAAAATGTCGGGAGGGAGGAAGCAGGAAGCAAGAAGAAGGCAGATGAGTGACGGAGAAGGAAAGGAGCCAAAGAGAAGATTGAGACAACAATGCTGCAGGTAGTAAAGAAGGAAGAAAGAGATATAGGGTCTGCAAAGGAAATGAAAAATTCATAAGGGAGGGGAGAAAATGCAAGGTGAGAAATGAATGCTGCTGAAGAGATGGGTTGTCAGAGGCCAAAACACATGTGAAAGAAAACAGCAGCGAGCTTGCCAGGCTAAACCAGGCAGACAACACAACAGGTGGGAGAAAACTACCAACAAAGAGAGGCTGGAAAAAAGAACACTTGACAGAAAACACAGAGAAACAACACGCATCCTTGATGAGAACAGACAGAACAGACAAGCAGGCATGAAAATATTCAAGAAGGAGCAGGGGGCAAACATGGCAACGCAGGGTTTCTGTTCTTCTCCAGAGCACAGTGATGAGCTTGTGCTCAAAGCATCAATCATTGCAGGAATCTAATCACACAATATTACAGCCGTGCACCGTCTCCCTGTCAGTGTCGCTGTCAGTGTCAGGATCCTGGATAACAAGTTATCTGCAGCATCCCAGAACACGCTACACACATGCTGTATTAATCCTGCATATAGCCAACATGTTAGGGAAAGAGAGGGAGAGACGCTCAAGTACGACAACACAACACTAGAATTAGAACAACCTGCAAATAGCCTTAGGCACATCCCATGCTATCATGTTTTTGCAGAACAACTGTAGAGGTAAAAAAGGCTTGTTTTTGGTCTGCAGAACCTGTCAGTTTTGCACAAAGTCAGTGAATCTACAATCACCTTATTATTTAGACATACATTTACACCTTTCCTTTTTACACCCCTGGGAAAATGTGTTTTGTGCTTGTGGAGTGAGAAAAAGATGAAAAGAACCATATGCGCTCACTTGGAAAATGTCCTACGGTCTAATTTGCACGGAAAAACCGATAATGGCCTGCCTCAACAAATAGGTTTTAATGACCGCACACGATTAATAGTTTATATTTTCTTTCTGGTACTGGTCCTCTGCCCATTCATTTATGCAGCCTGTTTGGATTTGTACGATTTATATGAATGTGGTTTACAGGCTTTTATTATAACTAGTACAGAGGGAGTAAAACACTTCTTCCAGGCAACAGGTCTTCATAAAAATAATCATCCGCATGTTTGCATCTCTCATTATGTCAGTCTCTTTCACATGGCCTTGACTTACTTAGGAAAACCCCAATCTCGTCAAACCCCCCCTTCCCCCGCCCCAAAAACTGACATCTATTGTTGCCATGGCTACAGTGCTTCCAAGGTAACAGCAAGATGGAAAAACAGTGTGTGAGCAGAGTGACAAATACCTTCGACATCTGTGTGTTTACCAGCGTCAATTCTCCGTGTCTGTCTGTACACACACACACACACACACACACACACACACACACACACACACACACACACACACACACACACACACACACACACACACACACACACACCACACACACACACACACACACACACACACACACACACACACACACACACACACACACACACACACACACACACACACACACACACACACACACACACACACACACACACACACACACACACACACACACACACACACACACACACACACACAGGTGCGCACTCACACGGTCACACTTAAACTTTGTTGTACAATAAAAATATGCTATTTTTTCCTTTGGGAACACCTGTTGCTCTCTCTTTCTTTCTCTCACACACACACACACACACACACACACACACACAACACACACCAGGAACCATATGCCCTCTTTCTTTCACTGCATCTTAACAGAAATAGCAGCAGTGATTAATCTCTGGTTAGCAGCTCGCGTACGTGCGCTGTATATTAGAGTGTGTCTGCGAGGTACAATAAGACACGTTGTTAAAAGTTTCACTGTCCATGCCTGTGTCTGCATTGTGTTTATGTTTATGAGGGTGTCCACATGCGTGTGTGTGCGTGTGTGTGCGTGTGTGTGCGTGTGTGTGTGCGTGTGTGCGTGCGTGTGTATTCCCTCACCCCTGGACAACCTCCTCGTCTTGGTCTGCATGGTCAGCGAACCCACCACAGCCCCCATGTTTGCAGTTGTCGTCGTGGAAACAAGCGCGTCTGTGTGCTCAAGTCTGTTTCTATTTTGTTGTCACGTGTTAGACGCCTAGTACGCACACACACTCTCCCCTCGCCCTGTTTCCTCTTCTCATCCTCCTCTCCCTCCCTCTCCTCTTCTCTCAATGGCTGCTTTTGGCAGAAACCCCTCTCTCCATCATCCCTCCTTCACGCTTTCTCACTCCATCTCACGGCGCTCCTCCTCTCTCTACCCTTTTTTTCCCCTCCTCACAGTCTCCCACTCTCTATCTCCCTCCCTCCAATTTCCTTGTTTTTCAGTAGGGGTTGTAGTCTCCCCCCCTTCGTCCTTCTCTCTTGCTCTCTTTATATCCCTCCCACCTACACCCGCAAGCTAGGAGCCAGGCGGAGCATCAGTGATTCAGTATGAATTCGCCAGGATGTTGATTCACCAAATGATACATTTATATGAGTGTACCCATTGATCTGTGAATGATACAACTCTGTGAATCATTCACAGAACAGGAACAACAAACATGCCCTGTTACATTTCACACCTAACGCATCTGTTTCCTCTCTGATGGAGGACAAATATGCAAATAGATACAGCCTGAGATATTGATTTGCGAGGTAAACATGAATTATGGAGAGAATGGAAAATATGAACATGTGACAAAAATGATGGAAGAGCCCTTTGCATCATTTTGGTTTCCCCTCAACATCACGGTGTGTTCATGAAAAGGCCACTTCAATCCATCAACACTTCCATTCACTCCATCCATCATTTCTGTTCATCCATCCACAATACCCCCCCCCCCACACACATACACGCTAACAGGGGATGGATAAAGGAACGGAGAGAGTGTGAGAGTGGTAGCAGATTGGCTCCCTGGGCAGGAGGAAAGGAGGAAGAGAGACGGGGCAGGCAGCAAGAGAGCAGAACGGAGGGAAACGGCTTAAAGTCAAGGATGTAAGAAGAGAGAGATTAAAAGCAGGAAAAGGCAAGGGATGTGAAGAATGGGATATTTAATAGGGTAGAAATAGAGGGATCATGTGTCACATAATACTGCAGGAGTGTGTGCTCTTGCCTTAAGAGACACACACCCGATGAAATCACATTCTAATTAAAGCCTGATCGATACAAATGAGGTGTACGGTCTTACTTGATGAAATTAAAAAGAGAGTTCAAAACATAAATCAAGGATGCAGAGGTGGAAGAAAAAAGTTACAAATCACACTATAGTCCATTATGTAAAACAGTATTAAAGCATCACATTTAAAGGGTCCTTTCATACTCAAGTATTGCCAACATACACCCTATGGCCACTTTATCAGGTACACCAAAAGCCTACTGTACAAGCTATCTAAAGATCAGATTGTATAGACGTCTGAGAAAATGACCCTACTTCTCAATGTATCTATTGTCTTGGATCCAAGGTCTTAATCGCTTCAACTCAACATCGATGCTTATTTAGAAAATGATGGTCCAGTCTCAAGGCTTCAAAACGTCAGGGTGGCTGACTCAATATATTTGTATGAATGCAAAAATCCTAACATTTTTATTTCAATTCTTAAAGTGTGAGCATTGAGGTTAGACCTGAATACCTGAACAATATTCGAATCAGAAATGTTATATATTTTTGCTTCATTAGTGTATGTTACCAGGTAGCAGCAAACAAATTAGAACACTTGTGTGTGTGTGCGTGCGTGCATTTTGCATGCGTGTGTGTGCGTGTGCGTGCGTGTGTGTGCTTGTGTGCAGTCTAAATATATCATATAATAACTATAGCTGTCAAGTAAATGCAATGGAACAGCCACAATACACTGGCTATAACAACTGCATCCAGATAATGTTATTGAAAGTGAATAGTAGCTAGCTGTATGCTCAGATCTCATCAGACCATCTCTGGCTGAGCCCCACTCTTTCAGATATACTGTAATAGCTGCTTGCCTAGAGACACGACATGTACAATTCTATTGTCAACTATGATCAAAGTTACAGTTTGCTTCAAGGGTGAAAACCTTTCAAATCTTCTTTAGCAACTGAATGAGCTAAACATAATATCTGATAGAGTTGTGAATGCCTGCATATGATGCGTATGTCAGGATTTCAGTAGTCAATTTGGAGAATAGATACGCTGTCCTTTTATATCAAGCCAGCCATCCGTAATAATAACGCTTTTGCGAATGTGGCAACTGCTTGGAATAAGGGCCACTTTTGGTCTGCTGATGGTGAATAATGAACGAGGCATGACTGTTTGGAAGCCATATGGGAAGATTTAGGTTGGTGAGTAAAAATCTGCAATGTGTTTCTGCGACGATCTGCTCATGAATACTCTAATATGTGTATTTTTTCAGCAAGAGAGACAGAATGGACATCAGTGGGGATGCTTTCACCCTGCCTACACACACACGCTTACACTCGGAGATGCACACATATGTATACGCACACACATTCTGCACATGCACCAACTGTGGACAGAAAGAATTGCTGATTATAGGATGAGGTCCCTGTGGACTCCATGGAGCATGACCTCCTTCTGCTACACCCACCCCCACCCCCCACACACACACACACACACACACACACACACACACACACACACACACACACACACACACACACACACACACACACACACACACACACACACACACACACACACACACACACACACACACACACACACACAGCACACACACACACACACACACACACACACACACACACACACACACACACACACACACACACACACACACAGTGAACTCTACTTCATATTTAACCTTAAACCCTATCTGTCTATCTCTCTGCTCTCTCTTATCTATAAATCTCTCTCCAGGCATAGAGCCTACACCTTTATCTGTCCATCTCTCACTATAAATCCCAGCCTAGTGTTCTTGTCGCTTCAAATACTGTTCCCACCTCGTTCCAATCTCAAATCTCCATTCCTCTCCATCTCCCTACAGTCTCTGACAGGCCGGTTTCCCCACACTGACAGAAATGTTTCTCTTCTAGTAATCATGTCGTAGTCTGTCTGTAGAGCAGAGGAAAAATGCCAGAGGTTGGAGTGAGTGTGTGTGTATGTGCAAGTGGTGTTTTTGTGTTCTTGGTGTTTCCTGCAGGCATGTGAGGGAATGACTGCAGACTGTATACAAAAAACATGTTACACTTCTTGAGGAAAGAGAAGATAAGAGATGAACAGAGGGGTCAAAGAAGAGGTACGATGGGAGCACACAGGAGGAATGAAGAAAGCAGCAAAGCAGAGAGCATTTGGCGATGAAGGAGACGGAGGAAACACACCAGGAAGGCTTCCAGCTGGAGATTACAGAGCGATGCAGAGAGCGAAAGAAAGAGAAAGAAGTGAGTAACTAGAGCCAGGAGAGTGGGCGAATGGCATTGCAACAAAGAAAAGGAAGAGGAGAGCCAATGTGGGAATTTATTTTTTAGAGAAGGAGATGGAAGAACAAAGAGAGTAAGGGAGAAAATGAGGAAGCAAGCGTGAGAGAAAAGGAAACTCTAAAGATCTTTATTAAGATTATTCCCGCTGCTTGGAAGCTTCAGAAAAACCAGCTCAGCTCGTCCAAGCGCTCAGACCTGTATATATACAGCCTATGGTTCAGACCAACCTCAGTGCTAACCTGCAGCCTACAGACAAATAAGTAACCCTTTTCTTCCTAAGAGGTTCATTCTAACAACTATAGATTAGGAATCTATCTTGTAGCTGTATGACTGTGGCTTGTCGGCACACAAGGCGTAGGCAATTACTCATCAATGGCAGCATGGCTTTGGAAATGGAAAAACATGTCTATTAGGAAAATCAATACTAATATCATCTGCTGTCCAAATGACTTTTCACACGGCCGCTCGTCTGTATCTCTATTAGAGAGTTGCACGCTGGGCCTCTCGCCGGCTGCCATCACATTATGAAAAAAGGAATAATTAAAGGAGCCCCTGCTATTGATCTGTCATCATGCACGGAGCGGTGGAAGAAGAGAAAGAAGGACAGCACAGTATGGACATAGATAAATGGGAAAGAGTGAGAAAGAGTGATTGAAGCCTGGAGACGGAGGGAGAGAAAGCAGGAGAGAAAGTTTGAATGGTAGATAGAGATTGATTAAGGAGGGAATCGATGAGAGAAACTAAAGAGATGGAGAGAGAGAAAGACTGGGCAGAAGGGAATATAGTCGTCTTCCTCTTAGACACCGTTTCTGCTCCGTCGTTATTTTGAAATCTAACTACTTTGACATGGGACGTGATGAAAATACTCTTCTTGATTCAAAAGGTTGTTGAAAGAGTTTGCAGGATTGAAACAGAAACAGAATGAGCTCTGAGTACAAATCAGTCACTGGCTGAAATTCCAACAGTATTGAGTTTCAGATGCAAAAAAATGATCAAAAACAGTGCAGTAGATTTGAAACATTTAGTCAATTCATGTATTAAATAATCAAGAGAACATTGTTCATAACTGTTTTCAAAGACTTGAATCCAAAGAGTCAAACATTTCTCTGGCTCCAGCATCTCATATCTGAGGGTTTTAAGCTTTTCCTGCCAAATGTGATAGTAAACAGAAAGTCTTTTGGACCATTGCTTAGATAAACAACTGATTTAAGTAGGCCAATGTTGGGAATTTTTCCTCTGGGCAACTAGTAAAAAAACAAGAAAACTAAAACTGAATACAAAAATGAAGTGGAAATGTGCACAATGATTCAATAATTTAAAAATAATCTAACAATAAGGGCAAGAGCAAATGAATGAGGCTTAATTTGTGTTGTATTAGTGAAAACGACTGCCCGGGAAAAAAAATGCCAATATAATTCTTAACCTGCAGCCATACCATGCTATACTTGTAAACAGTATTTCTTCGTTACAACACATGACGAGATGAAGAGACATCTATCAGAAGCACGACACAACTGTGACCCACGACTCACTGACCTGATGCTTATTAAGGCACGTGGATGCATCCTTCATTATTTACAGCAAAACAACAGCACACACATATCCTGAGATCCTCAGATGACGTATTTTTTCAGCCAGTGTGTAATAATCCGGATGGTGTCACATTGTAGCGCAGAGGCGCAGTGAAACAAACACAAACACTGCATACTGTTTGAATGTCCCCGATTATAAATAACCCCACTGTTTATTTTTCTTACACTTACACAGATAATTGAAACTTTGATATTTGTTCTGTTCTTCTCGCACACTTCAACATATTTTTATTTTTTAGAGGTCACAAAC